ATATATATATATATATACTTTGAAACGGTGGTAGTATTTATCATGAAGAAGCAACAACTATCTCCTTCTCCTCCGTCTTTCTGAAACACATCACACATAGCAAACAACACACCTCCCTTCGTCTTCTTCTTCGTCTTCCTCTTCCGACCCACCTCCTTAATCTTCAATCGCAACTTTTCCCATCAATTGCATTCATAATCTCAAGTTACAAGATTACGTCCAACGTTTTCTTCCCTCCGAGAATTTGGTCTTCATGGAACAACCACCTAATTCCTCTTCTCCCGATCAGACTGTCCAATATTCACCCCAAGACGTTGTTGTCTTCCACCCTCCTGATAAAATCCAATTCTTCGTTCGTATGATGTCCGAAAGCAAAACCCTTGTCCTCCATGGAAACCCACAAGATAAAGTGCATTCCATCCTTCAAAAGATTCAATCGCTCACTGGAATTCCCGTTTCTGAGCAACGATTGATTTACGGCAGGAAGCAGCTTCAGTCCGACCAGACTTTGTCTGAATGTATGATCACAAACGACTCCGGATTGCACTTGGTGGGTCGAATGAGGAGCTGTTGGCATCCGGAAGCTTGGCAAGTGATTAACGATTTAGTTTCAATGATTTGTAGGTTATTTAGAGGAGAACCTGAGGCTAGTACTGAGTTCGTCAAAATAGAGTTGATGGAGTTCTTAAGCATGATACCGGAGAACCAAATCAATCATGCTGCCGTCAAAGATCACCTCCATATATTTACATCTTCTTGTGTTCTTGAAGCTCTGGTAATGCTCTATATGTCTTCAGATAAACGTAACAAAGATTGTGCTAAAGAATCTATTCAAGAATTCATAACTTCTATTCGCTTCATGTTACCACAACCTGTATCTTCACAGTTTGTGCCTCTAGTCTTAGAATTATGTAAAATGCTTCAAAGTGCTGCTGGATACGATGATTCTTTGTACAAATTATGTCGGGGTAGTTTAGGAGTTATGGTGAAGAATGCAAAGAATTATCATAGTGGTGATGATGATGATGATGATAACAAGGTGATCATTTCATTACAAGACATGTTTCCATTTGCAGCCGAGCTTGCAAATAAGTTATCGAGGGGTTTGGTTTCAAGTGTGGAGTCTCCTAGTAATTTTGGGCCGTTGAGAGGTGATGTGAATGATTTTATGGCCTTCATGAAGCCATTGAAGACTGCTGTCAAATATCAGGTGGTTTCTCCCCGACCAATGTTGCCATCTAACTCCAAATTCACAGATGCAATCAACAAGGCTGCTGTCAAATATCAGGTGGGTTCTCCCCGACCGATACTGCCACCGAACTCCAAATTCACAGATGCAATTAACAAAATCAAGTTTCTTTATGTGCTTTTTGATGGTTTGCTGACCACATTGGTAGCATGCCTTAAAAAAATGGAGGTTTTGGTGATTGAAAAAAAAGAAAATGGTGGATGGGATCAATATCTTGTTATATTGAAGGAGTTGCATGATATTTCTAAACTCTACCGAGGTGGAGAAGAGTATTTTTGGACGAATTTGAAGGATTTCAAGCGTTCATTGTGTCATTTGATTGTTAGATATGCGATAAGGGATGAGGATTATGGATGGATTCTTCAGCAGAAGGATGCTATCAACTTTGAATCTAGGAGGCATTTGGTAATGCTGCTATTTCCAGTGGTGATGGATGAGAATGATGATATCCATGAGATGCTTATCAATAGAACACAGTTGTTGGCCGAATCTTTTGTGTATATTGCACATGAAGATCCTGATAGGTTGCGTAGCGGATTATTTATGGAGTTCAAAGATGAGGAAGCAACAGGGCCTGGTGTACTGCGGGAATGGTTTTTCTTGTTGTCTCAAGAAATCTTTAATCCTAAAACTGGTTTATTTGTTGCTTGCCCAAATGACCCTAGAAGATTCTTTCCAAATCCTGGTATGGTTTCTATCCTCTTAACACACACATATATACATATGTGTGGGGCTTAATCATTTGAGAACCTACATCATGAAACAAATATATGTTAATCAATATTCTAAATCATAGTCTTAGATAATAAAACACATATGAAATAACACATGATGCACAAGTTTTCATGGTTATCACAATTTCATGGGTTCTCAAAAGAAGTTTCCATATATATATATATATATATATATATATATACACAAATGATTCATCTCTTTATCTTACCAACATTTTGCTTTAGTGAAACTACTTTAAGTTGTGTTGAACCTCTAAGACTTTAGAGGATTTGGTTTTTAGGCATGAAGTAGGATAGGTTGGCTAAAGATACACATGATGAAACATCAAACAAGTCATGGTTGGCTGAATGCTACAACTCCAAGTCCCCACAAGTTCTGTTAATTTTTTTGTCTGTTTGATTGTTGTTACTTACTTTTAACATTGTCATCCTTTTTCCAAGTTCAGTATGTCCCACAAGCCTACGTGCCCCACCTTCGGGTGGGACATACTGAACTTGTTGGTACTCAACTTCGTCAATCTGGTTGAACAGCCTCCCAATGAGAGCGAGCCAAGACTTTGCTTGCTGTTTGTGTTTGGTTTGGATTGGTTTGTATATAATGAGCACTAGAATATGGTATGAATATGTCCCCTCTATACTTGATTTCCCAAAGAGTGGTTTTTCCAAATTTCGCATTTTTACACCTGTTATGGGATGTGTTAAGGTTAAAACTGTTGAATCATAGTTATTTATACCTGCCTTTTGATAGAACAATCTTGAAGGCGGTTTGACTTCAATTTGCATTCGTGTAGTTAGTACTCAAAATTTACAAGATCTTTGTTCTTCTTTCGTTGCAGCATCCAGAGCGGACCCTTTGGACCTTGAATATTTTAACTTTGCAGGCAGAGTTATCGCCTTAGCCTTGATGAATAGAGTACCAGTTGGTATTGTCTTTGATCGTTCATTTTTCTTGCAATTGGCTGGAAAAAATGTGTCTTTGGAAGACATAAAGGATGTAGACCCGTTCTTATATAGTAGCTGTCGGAAAATATTGGATATGGATCCTTTAGCTGTAGATGAAGATGCCCTTGGTTTAACGTTTGTTTGGAATGTCGACAAATTAGGAGCCATGGATGTTGTAGAGCTTTGTCCTGGTGGCAAAAATATGATCGTAAATAGCAAAAACAGGAAGACGTACGTTGATCTTCTTATCCACCATTGTTTTGTGGTGTCTGTTGCTGAACAGATATCACACTTTGCTAGAGGATTTACTGATATCGTTGGCGGAGAAAATATTCTGAAAATGTTCTTCAGCAGCTTGACGCTTGAAGATTTTGATAAGATGCTTCATGGGAGTGAAACTGATATTTCCGTGGTAGATTGGAAAGCACATACAGACTATGAAGGTTATTCACCAACCGATCCTCAGATATATTGGTTCTGGAAGGTATGTGCTTGCAAGATTTTAGCTGTTCTTTCTTCCCTTTTAAGCCGACGATTCTTGGTTCTTATTTTTTTCCATGCAATATCAATGAAAAAGGGGCTCGATGTTTTTAAAATCCATGACTTTTTGACAAGTTTTTAGGCATTCTTATGTAAAGACCTCAGTGGCATTCTTAAAACCTGTCAAAAAGTCACGGGCTTAACCATCTACACGTCAGTTGGCAATCAAAACGATGTGCTAATTGGCCGTAAAGTTAGGGACAATGCCTTCAAGATTGATGACTAATGGCTTGATAGAAAGAAGTGTAAAAGAAATGTACTTGTATATTTAACAAGTCTACAAGCGACCTCTAATAGTGTAACTAAAAGTTCTATAGAATATAGAGATGTTGGACTTGTAGCTAACATAGTAGACTAGCTATGGGGACATGTAGCTTGGGTAGGAGACTAGATGTAGGGATCCGTGGGCTAGCATAGCAGACCAGATGTAGGGATCCKTGGGCTAGCATAGTAGACCAGATGTAGGGATCCATGGGCTAGCATAGCAGACCAGATGTAGGGATCCATGGGCTAGCATAGTAGACCAGATGTAGGGATCTGTAGCAGACTAGATGTGGGACTTGTAGCTAGCGTAGCAAACCAGATTGCAGGCCCGTTATGCAATCATTTCACCCCTCAAGACCCTACTCTTAGTGGTACTTATTGGGCCAAGTTGGTTTTATCTTTAAGAGGTAGAGGTCATGTCTAAGGGCATCTCATCCCTCAGACCCTACTTTCAGTAGCATTTACGGAATCACTTTGGTTTATCTCTAACGGGTAGAGGTCATGTCTACTTTCAGTGTGATTTACTGTGTCAATTTGGTTTATCTCTAAAGGGTAGAGGTCAAGTCTACGTACTCATACCTTACTTTCTTCGGGTGAGTTTGGTTTGGATATACAGCTAGTCTGATTCTTTTTCATCTAACTCGAGCATGTTATGCAGATTGTTGAAGAAATGACAGGTGAGCAGCGGAAGGTTCTTCTGTTCTTTTGGATCTCCATGAAGTATCTACCAGTAGAAGGTTTTGGTGGCTTAACTTCGAGGCTTTATATTTACAAATCCAAAGAATCCTTTGATCATCTGCCTTCTTCTCATACATGCTTCTATCAAATCTGTCTTCCTGCTTACCCATCAATGGACGTGATGAAAAACCGCTTAAATGTCATCACTCAACATCATGTTGGCTGCAGCTTCGGTACTTCTTGAACACCCGAAAACCCGACAATTTTGACACCAATTGCACATATTAAAGATTGGATCGACTCAAATTGTACAGAAAGTAGACTAATGGTTTCTTGAATGTTTGTTTTTGGAATCAGAAATGGTACCAGTGCTATGCTTTCTGCTTTTTATCATCCATCTTGGTTAACTTGTTGTATACCCATGCAGAGTTATGTGCTTTTACAATTAAGCAATGCAATTAGGTTTTACATCTATTTCACTCTTAAGTTTGATGCTATTTTACCCTTCTCAACTGGCAAATAAACAAATAAAGACTACACCATGGGGATCTGAATCTGATCTATTAAGCTGTTATTTTGAGGACCCCATTAAATTTGTCGAAGTGAGCGAAAACTGATCCACGGTTACCAAAAAGAAACAGAAAAGTTTGACGTTATTTGCGATTGTGGAGACCGTTAAAGAAGACCAATATCCCAATTCTGGATAAATGTTTTGTCCTATAACTTAAGTCCTATAAAACACTTTATTTAGAGATATAGACATTTTTAAGGTCATATAAATCCAATTTTATTGTAGTATTGACATATATGATTTATGGGTTCTTTTTTTTTATTTTTTTAAATGTTAGTATTTCTAAAGACCACAACTAGACTCGTGATGGATTTTCATAAGGGAAAGTTCGGTCCCCAGATTACATGACTCCAAATAAACGACCAATACACTTAAAACATGTAATTTCGAAATAATATGTAATAAATGCAATACACGTCCAAAACTCAGCATTTAGTAATTTAAACCGGAATAATGTCCCCAAAGTTATACGAGTCAAAAGCCTCCACACTTATGTGACTACTCAATAAAAGTCAACATAAGTCAAAATATACATTTACCCAAAGTTTATGCAAACGCATACAAAAAAGGGCAAAATGCACAAAATAGCAATCTACTTTCATAAATTTCTTTATTATAGCATTGTACTTTCAGTTTTTCTTATTACAGCAATGTACTTTCAAACTATTTTTTATTAGGACATTGTACCTTGACAAATTTACCCATTATAGCATTGGGTAACCTTTTAATAAATTGTTTGGTTCCCATTTGGAGACGAATCATCCCAACAATGGTGGATTTTGACCAAACCATATTTTTTGTAGGGTTAAATGCATGAAAATAGCAATCTACTTTCATAAATTTATTTATTATAGCATTGTACTTTCAGTTTTTCTTTATTACAGCAATGTACTTTCAAACTATTTTTTAGATCATAGCAATGAAAAATGAAAATCACTAATAATGATGTGGCATCCACATCACCTCATTAAAGCCACACAAGCAAAAAAATCAAAGGGTTAACCGGTTTAAAAGGTAAAAAGTTACCCATTGCTATTATGAGTAGATTTTTTAAAGTACAATGCCTTAATAAAAAATAATTTGAAAATACATTGCTGTAATAAAGAAAAACAAAAGTAAAATGCTATAATAAGAAATTTTATGAAAGTAGGTTGCTATTTCATGCATTTGACTTTACAAAAAATATGGTTTGGTCAAAATCCACCATTGTTGGGATGATTCGTTTCCAAATGGAAACCAAACAATTTATATTTTGAAAATATATCATAAAGGTATTAACATCAAATAATCCTCATATATACAATAAATCATCAAAATCACACGATTTATGATTTATTTAGTCTCAAATATAAGCATTTCGCAACACTTTATAAAATCAAATGTGCAAAAATGCAATATCCTCAAGAAATTATTCACATTTTGATAAATCTCAAAGAAAAACTTTTAAACTGCAAAATAGACATTTTTGCTATGTTCAAAATTTTCACAAAGCAACTTGAAACTCACCTTGGTAGATTAAGTTAAACCTAGATCGCAAACACAAACACCTCAGGTCTAGAAGTGAACCACAAATCAATATATATATTAAAGAAGAAATCATGAGTTGTTGAAGTGGCTTCTCCTAGAGCCTAGAACCTTATTTCTCTTTTTTCTCCTTCATTCTTTTAATATTCACTACTATATTTTTTTTGTCAATTTATGTTTTTTTCTTAAATGTTTGCATCAACTCCCAACCATTCATCTCCTTCTATATTAATTCAAATTCCATAACTCCAAACCATTTATCTCCTTCTATATTAATTCAAATTACATAACTCCAAACCATTCATCTTTTCCAATCAATCATTTATTTATATATATAAAAACAACAACTTTTTGTTCATCTTCATCTCTCACATCCTCTGAAATTCTATCTTTATCTTATACATCTCTAAATTTATTTTATTCATCTTTGGTTTTTCTTCTATTTTACTATTGATAATCTTCATTGTTTTTTTGTTTTTTCTCTTCTCCTATAATTTTATGAATGTTTGTATCGTTATTTAGATTGCATTATAGTTTTTATGCATTATGTCATGAAGATTTGAAGAAGTCTTCAAGTTCAATATTTGATTTTTTGGTTACAATACAAGGTAATAATTTTATATTGATTTATTTCATGATTCTGATTGCATTATAATTTTATTTATGTTTGTATCGTGATTTTGTTTGTATTATAACTCTTATGTATTAGGTGAAGATTTGAAGTGTTCAAGTTTACTATGTAATTTTTACTTATGTTGAAATTTTTTTGATTTGCAGGTTTTCGAGTTCTTTAACTTTTATATATTAAGTCTTGAAAATTTGAAGTTTTCAAGTTTGAGTTGTGGGAATTTATGATTATGATCTAAGGTAAGGATTTTATGCAAGTTTATTTTGTAATTTAGAATGTATTAGAATGTTATGTATGTTTGTATCATGATTTTGATTGGATTATATTTTTAAGTATGTTCTTATCGTAAGTTTAGTCGTGTGATAATTTTATGTATGTTCGTGTTGTGATTTTGATTGCATTATAATTTTAACTATTGAGTTATAAATATTTGAAGTCTTTAAGTTTGGTATGTGATTCGTATGGTTGGTCCATTCACTATTGTGTTTTTAAAGTCAAGGTGTGTGTTGAGGATGAAAAATGGTACATGCACATCATCCTTTTTTGTGTTTATACATCATAAGCATCATTACACAAAACTAAGTTTTTTGTTATCAAAACTAAGACAATAATAATTTCTCTGTCTATAATGAATCCAATTTAAATTTCAGTTTTTCGGTTTTTGGCCAACCATGATTAGCTATTGTTTACAACAATCGGTAAGCTTATAATATAACGAATGTTATTGCTTATATACCTTGCATTGTATGATTCCTCAAGATTAGAGGATATTATATTTCWTTCAACAATTAATAAAATACTCTTATTTTATTTCCCATTATTTAATTGTATTATAAATTTAGTTATATCATTTCTTATATTGTGATTACACATTTAATTATTCGGATGACTATATGTACATGAATTTATTTAAAAAAAATCTGGAAAATAAGTGTTACAAGCTAAATTGAAAAAATTACTTTTGCATACACCTAAGATAGTGCTCAATATTAATCATACAATACTTGCGGGTTGCGGCTAACAATTTTTATACAAATTGAACTTCAATAAAATTATTGTTCTGCAACCGAAAAATATAAAATGTATGAATTTCTTTAGTTACAAGAAACAATATCAATGAAAAAAATTTGCATAAAAAACACTCCAATGTAATCACCATCTTATATTACAATTGATTATGAAATTACGTTTCACCTTAATTTGATTATGTATTTTCTAACAAAACAAGTTTCATCACTATGCAACACACGGTGTGTGAAATAAGAACTAAATGGTTGTTTAATGAAAAGTTTTCTATCATATTTATCTTTATTATTATTTTTTTATTTTTATTTATTTATAATATACAATCAACATATTAATTGCTAAACCTTTCATTTTCCTATTTTTTTAACTTAATTTTATTTATTTATTTGTAAATGAATTTGAATCCACAAATACATAAAACTACATATATTTTATTTTATACCAATAAATGTATATTTTTAATTACATCACAATTGAAAAATAAATTTTAAAAAAAATTATCGTCATCGCGCAACGCGCGATGTCAAACACTAGTTAATATAAACTTCAAATCTATAAAGATCCTCATACTAGAGCTTGAAATATTCAAGAAACTTACCACATCAAGATTTTGAGATCTCCCAACCAAAACCCTTCAATGAAATCTTTCCAATTCCAAACACCGAATCTTTGTACCCTTTAACATAAATACACACTAAGATGCTCCAAATCCGATCCCAAAAATCGCACCAAAGATGAGAGAAATGGAGAGGGAGGAAGTAATAAGAAAACCCCCTAGAGAATCGGGTTCAAAAGCTAATCTGGGCACGAATGCAGGTTTTCATGCAGCTAAACTAGCATGGACAGTCGTCTTTATCCAGAATATCTAACAAACAGACTCTGATGCGGGTTTTCATGCAGCTAAATCCGCATTGACCACTATTTGACTTCTAAATGTCTCTTTCTTAGGACTTAGTATACAAATATACTCAACATCAATTCCCACCATTGCAACTTGATAAAAAATACATTTTAAGGTGAAATATCAAATGCAAAAATACATTGTGGTATGTGACTCCCATATGGTTTTTTTAAGCTTCAAACAGTGTCCCATATGATTCCTTGTAACATGCGATACGATTTCTCGTGCTTTCCATTTTCTTAAGTTCAATCCGCAACTTACAAGCTTCGTGCTTGTTTTGCAAAAATTCGAGATATGTGTATGTGCTTATTTGATTAAGGTGCTTATGTATGTACGTACACACCTGGACTAGTACGATAGGGGTTGGGGTGCTAAATATAACAATCCGAAATCTTCAATGACCTTAAAGAGAACCAAAAGTATGGGACTAATGATCTATCGAAAAAAGTTACCTTTATTCATTTTTTTATTAACCTGGATATCCAACCCGCTATGCGAGCCGACTAATCTCAGGGCGACTACCTGCTTTGCAGATAGCCCGGAGTCACCGCATTTGAACCTCTGTGGCTACAAGTTAATTTTTATCTCTCTTTGGATTTGAACCTGAGACCTCCTGGTACTTTTGACATTTGGAGTCAAGCTCAAACCAATCAGACACCACCCTTTATAGTTAACTGACCGGTTTATTTTGGTTCGAATTGTTCGGGTTTGAAATTTGTTTTGTGTAGAAAAAAGGGTCGATACTTTTGAATAAAGAAACAAGTGACATATATGAAATTATTTGGAATTAAAAAAAAACCAAAGTGATGCTCATTTTCATCCAATCATCTCCTGCCACTTGGCTTTTAACACAAACTTTGACCATGTCAAAAATGTAAATTTGACCTCCCTCTATTCCTCTGCTGCAACTTCAATGGTGGCAACCACCGCTGCTGCTACTGGTTTCTCATCTTCCTCCACAGTCTTTTTGGCCTCCTCCCCCGCCGGAGTCTCCTCTTCCATCTTTGCCTGAGTGTTTTCCGGGACTGCCTCCGTCGTCACCTCCACCGGAGTTTCTTCCTCAGCTGCCTTCACCTCTTCTTGTTCTTGAGTCGTCTCATCAGTTTCAGTCTCCTCCACCACTTTGGTCTCCGATTTCACCGGTGCCTCCACGGTTTCCGGCTCTTCCACTGCTGGTGGATCGTCGGCAATGGCTTCTTCCGTCGCCTCCTCCGTTGCAGGTGGTGCAACGACCACCGGCTCTACTTCTTTTGGTGCTTCCGGGATGCTTTCCACCTTTTCCGGCAAAATGTTTGCAGCTGATTCAACCTGATACATCCATTAAAATCCAAGAGCAATATGATGCATTCATTCCAAATCCGGTGTCAGATCATAAATTTTGTTAAAATAAAATAATTATATTTACGATATTTATTAAATACAATTAACGATTTACGATCAGGGTTTTTACTTTCTAGGTTATATTAACTATTCAAACTCAGATTTACGTTTCGATATATTAATTACTTGAAATTTGTAACACGGTTGGGTCATACGCTGCTGCGACAAACAATATCAATCGTGACAGAAGCCACCATTCCTCAGTGGATTTGCCACGTATCATATCATTAATCATAAGTTCAAATCTCGACCCTTTCATGAACATAATAAAAAAAACTTAACAATTAACGAATTGGAATTAATTAAAAAACCGATAACAAAAAGGAGGGATAGATGAGACCGGTTACAAAGTTAAAAAGAGTAGAAATTACCTCAACAGTTGCCATTGGAAAGATATGGAAGAAAATGAGAGAAGAAAGGTGGTGTTTGAAATAAGAGGGACATGACGTCTATTTATAGACCTTCATATCCATTTTTTATTAAAAAAATATATTTATTTAAATAAAAATAATTAAGATTTATTTAATTGAAATTATTCAGTGAAGGAATGGGACATGTGATTGAGTCGTTATCACAACACAACTATCATTTATTATTATTATTTTAATAAATGTTAAAAGAAAAGTTATATATATTTTATTTTTGAATTTTCAGGAGCTTTATGCTTTTTAAGAGAAACATGATAACTACAGTCTACAGCCAAAGCCTCATACGAAGAACACATCAATTTTTTAACGGAAAAATAATAATAAGTTGATCGAATCACATGTGATTTTACGTTATAAACACATATAAAATTATATATGATTCATCCACGATATGTGAACTTACACATGATTTGTTTGTTTTCATTTCTTTTGTATCGTTATTATTTTATTTTGAACCTCCTTCTCTCCCCCCCTCCCTTCCCTTCCCTCTCTGTATAACCAATAAAACTCAATCTCAACCGCTTATTTAATTGATGAATATGTAATTTAATAAAAGTTTTAATTGTTTCTTGATATAAAGTATTGATCATAATTAATGAACCCTAGTCATCTTCCATAAATATTCAAATCATAATAAATGGACTCTTATCATTTCCATAAATATCTCAATTAATTGGGTTGTATTGGTTGTACAAATGTGATGGATTGCATTTGAAACGTCATATATATATATATATATATATATAGGGTTGGGTTCACGTGAGACCAACATGTTTTCGTGAGACCACATTTTTACATGTAACCTTCACAGCAAAAACACTGTGAAGGTTTGAAAAAAGTCGAACCTTCACAGCAAAAATACTGTGAAGGTTTTAAAAAGTCACCTTCACAACATTTTGTTGTGAAGTTTCAAATATAAAATGTTGGTCTCACGGGTCTCACGAAAACAGGCTGGTCTCACATGATCCCAAGTCTATATATATATAAAGAGAGAGAGAGAGAGAGAGAGAGAGCTTGGTTCAAATATTAACCAAGATTATTGTGTTAATTTTGTTAACCAAGCTCAACCAATGAAAATCCATCTTTTATCTAGATTCATATTCATCTCATAATTTAATGACAAGGGTAAATATGTAATTTTAGTTTGTATGTTACTCCATATCATTAATTAGGAGTTACAAAATCAAAAAATCTCATAATTGTTGTTGATTTACTATTGATCTTGTTTTTTCTATAATATTGATTTATCTATCTATAATGTTCTTGAATTTGTGATTGTTAAAGGAGACCCAATAGTAAAGTTTTCGATATCGTACAAGCTAATATGTATAAACTCATTGGAAAACAACTCGATAACAACGGGAAGGTTAAAATGTGTTTCACAAGTGTTCATATGTACACTAGCTGCATATCTCAACATTGGCTCGCTCCTGAATGTGTTCATAATGAAAGAACTATTGTTCACAAGCTGTTCATATTGTGTTCATACATGTTTTTTTTATCTATTTTCTTTCTTGTAGCGGCTATTCTTATTATGTTCATATTGTGTTCATAAATGTTATGCAGTCTAAGTTCATATATATGTCAATTTTTGTTTGTATTTGACACAATGATTCATATATACATATGTGTGTGTGCGTGTGTGTGTGTTCATATGGTTCTTACATTAACAAAAATAATGATATTTTTTTGATTTTGTAACTCCCAATTAATTATATGGGAGTTACATAAAAAAGAAAATTACTTTAATACTCTTTTCCCTTTTGTTCACATATGTTTTACCATGATTAATCACAACAGTATATTGTAAGAATCAATGGCTAAGATTGATTAACAAAGTTAATACAATAAACTTGGTTAACATTTGAATCAACCCCTATATATATCTATACTATCTTATAAAGCATTTGGCTAAAACTCTTAAAAACTCTTAAAACTCTTAAACTCGTTCATCCTTAAACGATTTCAACCCTATCTGATTTTATCTCATATCTGAATTCGTGTAACTAACTGCAGATAAATATAATCAAATACAGGATAAACATCTCATTTTAAATATAAAAAATCTAAAATATAATTAG